GCTTTTGTTGGGCTACTTGAACTAAAGACCTCCAAACATTAATGGAGTATAGTCTAATTATATTAAATTGATGAGATATGTTGTATGTTTTCCAAATTAATAGTGTAATTTAGGTATTTAAAAACAAATGTTGTTCATGTATGTAGAATCAGCTCTTTTACTCTGCTGATTTTCAACTCTTGGCTGCGTTAGTTGGTTTGATTGTGCTCTGCAGTGGCTATTGGCTGTTTTGTTTGTTGGTTCTGTTGCTTCGCTTTGTTTGTTGGTTTCTCACCAACTGAAGCTTGGAGCTTGTGCTAGATCCAAGCTCCTCTTTATTGAAGGATCTTTTCATACTACGTTAATGTACCAATTAGGTGGGAATTGGAAAGTTGTAGAACGATTCCATCATCGAGGAATATGGAATGTGCCAGAGATGGATGGTTTACTGATGATGCTCTAAATAGTGTGTTCCAACAAAATGAAACCCGCGAGGTTGTACCAATTGTGAATGGAAACGGTATGCAAGTTGAAGGCGGTGGCAATCAAGGGTTTTTGTGTAGAGATGATATTGAAGGTGAAATTATTCCAAATACAATGGTTTCACAATCCCATAGTCAAACACAAGTCGAGGGTGTTGTTGATGCTTTCATTTGTGATCCGACGAAGATGACTCATCGAGGACAATGATGAGCAAAGAAGAAACGAATTTGACATTGTTTAACTATATAATCGTGCATAGAACCTTGATGTATTTATACATACTGTTTTGAGGACATACTACAACACTTTTTGCTATATATGTTGCTGTTTGTGCTGTCCGTTTAGTTGGAGAGTTTGGTCCTAATATTAACTTTGTGAACTGCTGCTTCTGGTTGTTTGTTCTGTTCTGCTGCATTTGATTTAGAGTGTGTTCTGTGCTGTGTGTCTGTTGTAGTGATGTTCTGTCTGTCTGCTGTGTGTACATAACTGAAGGGCTGGCTGTCTGTAGTTCCTATTCTGTTTTTGCTGATTGTGTTGATCTGTGGTGACTGTTTTGCTTTGCTCATGGCTATGTATCTGTTTTTGTTGCTGTGTTGGCTTTAAACAATCTTGTGGCTTGTAGTGAATGTAGGGCTGCTGTAGTTCAAGGCAGTGGTTGTCTTCTCTGCCTGTCCTGTTTTGGTGATCTATTTTGGTGCTTGGAAAGGGCTGCTGTAGTGCCTCATCTGGTTTTATTCATGGCAGTGCTTAGTGGCCTAATATTGTTGATTTCCTTGGCTTTATTTACCGCTACAGATATGAGATGGCACAAGGAGAAACGTGTGGATGATGGAATCTTGAGGCATCCAGCTGATGCTGAGGCATGGAAAGACTTTGATCGGCAACATCCTATGTTCGCCATGGATCCACGAAATGTAAGGCTAGGGCTCGCCACCGATGGTTTCAATCCATTCGGAAATATGAACACTTCATATAGTATGTGGCTTGTTATCCTAATGCCTTACAACCTCCCACCATGGAAGTGTATGAAAGAGCCTTTCTCCATGATGTCATTGCTTATTCCTGGACGATCGGCTCCTGGAAGAGATATCGATGTTTACTTACGGCCATTGATTGAGGAGTTGAAGGAGTTATGGGGGGATGGGGTGCGAACTTATGATGCGAAAAACGAAGAGTCATTTAGAATGCATGCTGCACTGATGTGGACCATCAACAACTTCCCTGCATATGGTAACATGTCTGGGTGGACTACTGAAGGTTATTTGGCTTGTCCCACTTCTAATGAGGACGCATCATCACAAAGGTTAACAAGTAAGATAGGGTACATGGGTGCTCGTCGTTACTTGCCCGAGAACCACATATGGCGAAGGAGCAAGTTGTTTAACGGACAAAGTGAGGTTAGGTGCAGACCGTTGGAGTTATCAGGTGAGCAAATATTAGAGCAAATTCAGACTGGGACATACAAGCCGTTTGGAAAACATCCAAATAACAGGAAAAGACAAAGGGACAAAAATCCAGTGTTGAATTGGGCAAAGAGAAGCATTATGTTTGAATTGCCTTACTGGAAGACGCTTAAGCTTCGACACAACCTTGATGTCATGCACATAGAGAAGAACATTTGTGACAATTTGATGGGGACATTATTAAATGTGGATGGGAAGAACAAGGACACAGAAAAGGCACGGATTTATTTAGCAAATTTAAAAATTCGGAAGGAGTTACACCTACAGAGTTGTGGTGATGGGTCATTTGTGAAGCCTCCAGCTGTGTACACATTATCCACGAAAGAAAGACAAGGCTTTGGTGCTTTTTTGAAATCAATCAAGTATCCCGATGGTTATGCAGCAAACATCTCCAATTGCGTGAATACTGACAGTGGCAAAATATCAGGACTCAAAAGTCATGATTGTCATGTGCTTCTACACCGACTACTTCCGGTTGGGATGCGCGGGTATCTTAACAATGACATTGGTACGACTTTGTTTGAGTTAGGAAATTTCTTCCAACAACTGTGTTCAAAGACGTTGAAGGTGACAGATTTACAGAAACTAGAGGATCAAATCATACTTGTACTGTGCAAGCTTGAGAAGATTTTTCCTCCAGCTTTCTTTGATGTCATGGTTCACTTGGTTGTTCATTTGCCACACGAGGCAATATTGGGAGGGCCAGTGCAATATCGATGGATGTACCCAATTGAACGGTAATTATTTATGCTCTTACCATATCACTGTCATCAACCTTTAATGGTAGTCTATGTTTTGGCATTGTAGTATGGACATAGTAAAAAAACTTTTCTCTTGTAGGCTACTTGGAATGCTAAACGGATTTGTTGCCAATAAAGCTCATCCTGAAGGATCAATTGCGGAGGCATACATTTCCAAAGAGTGTACAACTTTCTGCTCGATGTATCTTGATGGATTTGAAACAGTGTTTAATCGAGAAGAAAGGAATGATGACGGTGGTGATCACGGCTTGGGGTTAGCCATCTTCTCTCAAAAAGTTCGTCCATTTGGTCTAATCAATAGGGCACCAGATGTGCCTCTCCACGAACGAGAGATGGCTCAGTGGTTTGTCTTATACAATAGCTTTGACGTGGAACAATATCTACAGTATGTTTTCAGGCCTCAAAAATGTTAAATTCGCCATAACACGTATTGTCTGATTATTCGTAATCATATGTCTTACTTATCTACTATTCTTATTAATTAGGGAACACAAGAACATTTTGCAAAATGGAAGTACATGTGACACCACAGAGAGGCAACGGGATGAATTTCCTAAGTGGTTCAAAGAACGTGTAAGACATACCTATTTATCCAACATGTGAGCACATTATGCTATAACCAACTTGAACAAAGTAACATAACACGTATTGCTTATGTAGATAAATCAGTTGCGGAATCAAGGGTCGCCGGAAGCAACGGATGAATTGTGGTCGTTGGCCAATGGTCCTAGTGCAATAGTCAACACATATTCGGGATGCATTTCTAATGGTGTTCGATTTCATACCATCGATCGTGATAACCGTCGTAAAACTCAAAATAGTGGGCTGGTTGTAGAAGGGGAGCAAGAGGGTCATTCAATGCGTTTCTACGGTTACTTGAGGAAAGTGTGGGAAATGACATATTTGTTTAGACATCGAGTTGTTTCATACCAATGTGAATGGTATAACACCGGTAGCAAGAAGACTTGTCTCACGGATACACATGTCACAAGTGTCGATGTGAAAAGTCGATGGTATGAACATGATCCCTTTGTATTCCCAGCTCAAGTAGAACAAGTATTCTACGTTAATGATACCAAATTAGGTGGGAATTGGAAAGTTGTAGAACGATTCCATCATCGAGGAATATGGAATGTGCCAGAGATGGATGGTTTACCTGATGATGCTCTAAATAGTGTGTTCCAACAAAATGAAACCACCGAGGTTGTACCAATTGTGAATGGAAACGGTATGCAAGTTGAAGGCGGTGGCAATCAAGGGGTTTTGTGTAGAGATGATATTGAAGGTGAAATTATTCCAAATACAATGGTTTCACAATCCCATAGTCAAACACAAGTCGAGGGTGTTGTTGATGCTTTCATTTGTGATACCGACGAAGATGACTTCATCGAGGACAATGATGAGCAAGAAGAAGACGAATTTGACATTGTTTAACTATATAAATCGTGGCATAGAACCTTGATGTATTTAATACATACTGTTTGAGGACATACTACAACACTTTTTGCTATATATGTTGCTGTTGTGCTGTCCGTTTAGTTGGAGAGTTTGGTCTAATATTAACTTGTGAACTGCTGCTCTGGTTGTTGTTCTGTTCTGCTGCATTTGATTTAGAGTGTGTTCTGTGCTGTGTGTCTGTTGTAGTGCATGTTCTGTCTGTCTGCTGTAGTGTACATAACTGAAGGGCTGGCTGTCTGTAGTTCCTATTCTGTTTTTGCTGATGTGTTGATCTGTGGTGACTGTTTTGCTTTGCTCATGGCTATGTATCTGTTTTGTTGCTGTGTTGGCTTAAACAATCTTGGTGCTTGTAGTGGATGTAGGGCTGCTGTAGTTCAAGGCAGTGGTTGTCTTCTCTGCCTGTCCTGTTTTGGTGATCTATTTTGGTGCTTGGAAGGGCTGCTGTAGTGCCTCATCTGGTTTTTATTCATGGCAGTGCTGTAGTGCCTAATATTGTTGGATTTCCTGGCTTTATTTGCTTTGTGTGTTGGTCTCTCACCAAGTAGGAGGTTGGAGCATGTTATAGCTCCATGCTCCTCTTTATTGATGTACTTATTCATATATTTCATCAATAAAGTCTTCTTTTTGCCAATCAAAAACCCAAAAAATTTAATATGTCATCAATATCACTTGCAAATTTATGTAGATGGATTAATATATATGTATGAAAGTAAGATTTTCATGGATGTTCATTTCTTAGTTATTTTATTTGTTAATTATTACTGTTGACGTATATGTATGTGTTCACATTAACAATTTGTGCTTATCTATGTGCTCATTGTGCACTTCTCGTTTGATAATGTTAAAATGTAACAGAATGGCTCCTACAAAGAAGATGCGCCGTTTACCACCACCGAAGAGGGCATTACTTGAACCCTACTCATCCTCGACCGATACATGTACACCTTATCCGGAAGGTCTTGCAGCAGATGGATTTGAGCCTATTGGACCATCTCTGTCTCAAATTAATGTGTTGTCAGGATCTGAGACTATTGCACCAACGCCGTCTCAAACTAATGCACCACATGGATTTGAGATTTGTGAAGCATCTCTGTCTGAAACGCAGGCACCATCTCCTCAAAGTCAAACAAGTGGCGCAGGTAACTAAATATGTTTCATCTACCTTCAATGTATCCATTGTTTATATTTTTACATTAGTAAATACACTAATAACATTATCAAATATGTAGGTGCATCTTCATCAAGGCGAGTGCGGGGACCAACAGTTGGAAAAGCAATAGCAACAAGAGTTGCCAACAATAATGGGAACAAGCTCCACATTCCAATCACTGAGACATTCAATGCATTCGAAGGTGTGCTAGCGACCCCAGGAGCTAATGAGTTTGGCATTCAGATTAGGAGGATGTGCCCCATTCAAGGTGTTAAAAGTTGGACTGTTGCTGATCCTGCGACAAAAGGGGCTGTTGTACAAGCTGTCCGGGTATGATTTAATTTCTTTCATAGTATGTGTGGATTATGGAAGAAGTGCACTTTTCATGTGCATGGAGGATGGGAATTTGTTTTCTTTGTTGGTTATGAAAGCTTGTCATGCATAGTAAAACTCTGCATATCTCGTTTCACAACAGTTTTGATCATGCATAGTGCACTTTCGTTTCATGCATAGTGCATTTTTGATCATTTTTCATGTATGTACCGTTAGAGGTTGGAATTTATTGTGCAGGTATTTCTATTTATAGGTTCTTTGATTTTTTGACAGTAATGTCCCAATTAATATTACTATAGTTTAGATTCAATGTTTGGGAAGACAAGTTAGATTCAATGTTTAGGAAGATAGTTTTATTTGTCAATGTTTGGAATACCTATAGTTATTAAATGTTATATATATATATATATATAGAATGGTATAGATTTATTTAATTTTGTAATTTCGTATAGAATGATATAGATTTATACTAAATTAAAAAAAATGTTATGTATATCAAAGGGGAAGAGGGGGTTATAATTATTAATGAATCGAGCTTATAAGTGAATATTCAACTTTTTAAAAGTCTTGTTTAAAGAGTCATAAAAATTAACCTTGTTTGATTGTAGAAAATTGAGCTTATTTTCAAAAAATAATAATTTAAATTTTAACAATAATATGGATCAAAGACATTTTTGACCCCTAAAGTATGCATTTTTTTTATCATTTGAATCCCTTAAATTTTAAACTTTGTCATTTTGATACTCAAAGTTGTCAATAAAATTATAAAAAACACATACTTTAGGGACCAAAGTTATCTTTTTCTCAAGGATAAAATACTTTTCCTATTATCCATGTAAACAGATGTTAGAGATGTGACCAAATTGATTCAAATTGACAATACACTTAAAATGTATAATATTTATAATAAAGCAATTCATCAAATACAAAAATACCAAAATTTAGTACGTTTTCGTATTTATTGAATTTTTAAATATTTTTTTTTCAAATATAAGTTAGGTGCATCTAGAAAGTAAAAAAAACATTACTTACAACAATAAAAAAAAAATATAAATAAACACAAAAAATAAAAAATTCAATTTTCAGAAAATCAATCAAAACCAAAATTCATTGTATCTTTTCTTGTTTAAAAACTCTATTGGTCTAGAAAATTAATCTAGAAAAAATTTATTCAATATAGAGAAGTGTAGTTGAAATTTAATTGATGTATTATGAATTTCATGTATTTATACAAACTGATTTTTATGGGTAAATTTTTAAATAAATAAAAATTAAAAAATGATTCATCCCCTAATTTAGTCCTCCATTTTCATCCCCAATAATATGAAATCAGGTGGCTAACTTCACGTGAGTCTTAATCACGTAATTAGGGTGAAATTGGAGGCCTTAATGGGGGATGTAGTGGGACTAATAAAAATTATGGATATATAATATGAGTAATGCTATGATAAGGTGTGTAGTTAGGGTGGTAAATGAATAGAATCGTTCGTAACCAAACTCGAACTCAGTTTGGTAAGGACTCATTTGAATATTCAATTTATTTTACGTTAATATTGTTCGGACATTCAAATCCAAACAAAACAATCTTGTTCAGTACTGATGGTCTAATGATTATATTCAAGAAAATAAATCCAAAGAAGGAGAAAATGGCATATGAATATAATGTCCAAACAATTTAGCGCTTGTACACGTATACAAAACTCAACTTCTTGTGATATGATTAGAAGGTCTGTGCTATCTGTGCTCTTTAATCGATTTAGCGTTCAAGAAAATAACTTTTCTGGACTGCTCTACCCTTAGTATATAAAGTATGAGATTTAGACTAGGATACACTGTGGTTGAATCCACACCTAAAGGATTTTAATTTCTCAATCCTTTATTTCATCTGTAATATAAGCCAGATCAGATTGTGCTATGGAGGAGCACTGATGCAATGAGTTGTGATGAGCCCATTGAGCTGGAGGCAGAGCAGCTCTATTATGATATAGTTTTTAGGTGTTGTTTTGTTTGCTAGTGAAAGGTCTGATGATCTGCTGTTGAACTATCTGGTGATCTGGTGTTATGTGGCTGGTTAGTCTTCATTGAACTATCTTTTAGTCTATTTGGCTTGTTGATCTGTTCGTCTGCTATTAGTCCTTGTGCTAATATCTTGGTGCTAGTCTGGTAGGTTATGGTGACTGTTAAGAGGGTGTGATTGCTGAACTAATCTGTTGGTAGTTTGCTATTAGTGGCTAAGAAGCTGAACTAATCTGATAGTTGCCGATCTAATCTGTGGGTAGCTTGCTGATCTAGAGGAACCTGTTAATGTTGTTTTTGCTAAGCTCATCAGTGGCTGCATGTAGTGGTTGTGTTGTTGGTTGCTGAATATTAGAGAATTAGAAATTAGAAATTAATTCATTTCCTGAATATTTTATTTCATTCTTTGGAGGCTGCTGAATACATTCTTAAACTATTTATCTGCTATGCTTCACCTAACCTAGTTTTGCTGCCGAGTGAAAACTTTGACTAAACTATATTTCGCACTATTTTTTTAATCTTTATTTCTTCTGAAATAAGCAGTAAGTAATGCTTAGATTGCTTATTTGAGAGAACCACTGTTCGCCATTGCCCTTGGCAAGTGAAACTGTTGGCTATTATTTCTTTTGTATTCTTCTTGACAAGCCCAATAAAACAACTATGACACTTGGTGAATCTATTTCAAGAATAGTGAACTCCCTTCTGAAAGTGTGTTTTGAAAGAAAGGGATAATACCAACGTCTATGAGGATTTAGAGATGGAAGTGGATTTTATCGGTGGTTTTTTTTTTTTAACTGTTCTCTTTTAATGATATTGAATAAACTAGTTCGTAATATATTTCACATTATTTTGTGGTTAAAAGGATCATGGGCTTAAGTTTTAACTTTTTATGCTGTTAATTTGCGTTTAGTGTGAAAGGGAGTCTCTAGTTAGGTGAAAATACTGAATCTGTGACTTTCAATCTAGAGATTCTGAACTTCAGTTTAATTACTATGTTATGTAGATGATCGGTCTATTGGCATCAAATCAGCATGAAAGTCATGGCTGGGGAATTTGAAGTCAGCAACTGATGTAGGATTAAGTCTCCAAATTCATGTTTGTTGAATTTACAATCACATGCGTCAAACTAATAGAGGCTAGGCTGCAAACTGGGGCCAAGGAGAGTGTAGGACAGGAAGTACTGGCAGGAGGTCAGGGGTTCATTGGAGACTCACGATTACCAGGGACAAAGGGGAATGTTTAGGTGAGAGACAGAGTGGCCCAACAGAGAGAGAAGTGAGGGGCAATGGAGCACCAGTATGTAAGCACAAGGCTCTCAATCCAGTGCTTAGGAATGACCTCTCAAGAGATGATGCCTATAAAAGCTTGTGATTTGAGGGTACTGCCTTAGATTTATAGAAGGTTGGTTATGTCAACAAACTTCTTGGATATTTTAGATTGTCAAAAAAGTCTCATTAATTAACAAGATTGTCAAAAAAATCTAATTTCATTAACAAGACTAATTTCATTAATAAAAAAATCTAATTTATTAAATGTGTTCTTTCTTTTATGAAGTGATGTTCTTTTTCATTAAATTTTGCACGTCGCCGTAATTAAATATCACTGTAACTACATATTTTCAGCGTTCACATTGCATAATTGCAAGTTTCTTATTTGGTTTGCATTGATAATTATAGGATAAATTTGAAATAGGGGATAATTATGATTTTCCTGTCATCAAAATGAACTAGTGCATATTTAGTATGTTAATTTTGTAGGCAAGTAAGTGAAACTGATAGTCATCTCTCAACCACTCTCTCTCTGTTATCCATTCAGTAGTGATATTTAAATTTGAAATAAGAGGATTTGACACTAATCATTAATAGGGAATAGCTCAAATTTAGATTTGATAATTTAGATATAGATTTTATTGTTGAAGTTGATGTCTTTAACGTGATAGACTTTTAATTTAAAAATGTAGTAGTTGTTATTTTAAATCCTTCATACTGAAGTTGTACAGAGATACTAACAAAAATACTTTTCTTTGTTCCCTTTTAGATTCCCAATAAAACTATAGTAACAAACGCTCCTATACTTTTGTAAAATTTGACCTCAAATTTCCTTCATTTGAAATCCATCTATACAAAAAGAGTCTAAATTTGTTGTCATTGAAATGATGCAGATTTTTACCCTTTCATTGTGATGACAGATTTGATTTCTTATGAAGAATTGTACCAAGACTGTGATCTGAGATTCACTAAAACTATTACCAAGCTGTTGATTGAAGACTGAACCAGATCAAGAATATGTCTTTAGTTTTGAGTAGGAAAATTAACTTGGAAAGTAATTGTTACATTACCAGAAGTTTGTAGCTTTCTAAAAGGTGTCAATTGTCTCTACAATGTTTTCTACTGCATCTCCTCTAGATTTAGAGATGGAAGTACAACAATTGGCATCTCCTCTCCTCTAGTTTTAATAATGGGATAAAAAAGGTAAAGAGCTATGCATCAGTGCGTTGCTTTTTTGCATGAATGAGACACCTCAAAAAAGTATTTGACCACCTTTTAAAAGTATTTGAGTCACATAACTAGATTGTCAAGAAAGTCTCATTAATTATATCTCCAAGGTTGCTGAGGTTTTTTTCTGTAATAGTTGATGAATCATCAAAATATCCTGTTACATTTTTTACTACATAATACAAGTGAGATGCAAAAGTACCTGATTCATTAGCAGTAAGAAGTTTTAATGCTCATGTATTGGATAAATGGGTGGGAGTAGTTTGTAGTTAACCTCTGCCTTTTCTTTTTTCTTTGGGAACACTATGTGAGAATAGTAGGTTCTTTTAATAGATTTTATTACAGGTGTTTTGGTCTGTATTCTGAA